TTTAGCTTATTTTGTAAGACAAGAGAGGCTCACTTGAACTTCACTTCTTGCTTATGCTTCTGAAAATCATAAGTGAAACTTAAATTGTTCCCCCAAGCTGATATGTGGTAGCCACTAACCAATTCCCTTTCATTTGAGAAAATTCTAACGTAACCAATCACTGTGAATAGTCCCTGGCTCCGCACTATATAAGTCGCTTGACAACCAGAGACCTCTGAGCCTCATCCCATGTTATGGTTTCAGTGCTCCCACTTTGCAAACCATTTGGTATGTGCACAACAGAGTTTTACGAATTACTACTTCAGTGATTCACTGGTTTTACTTTTTTTTTTTTTTGAACATTTGACATCTGTGGATAATGCACACAAATTCTTTCCCTCCCAGCTGGAGTTGCTCCCTTCTCTTGATGTGTCTGCCTGTCTTCACAGACTCAGTGCTCATCCTTGCTGCACACGTGTCTTGTGCTAGCCTCACGCAATGACTGCTTGAGTTTCCTTTACACATGTTCTTTTGTGCCTCTGAGCCTTGCAAGTGTCATTTCTCTTCCTCCAGTCCCCATTCCCCCAGCCCCACCCCATCCCAACAAATGTCACCTTCCTTAACCCACGAGGGACAATTTTTTCACTCCTCTGAGCCTGTGTGTGTGTAAGCTTATCTATCATCTATCAATCTATTATCTATCTATAATATACTGTACATAATGTGCCATGTTTCAGGCTTTTTCTCCCTCATTGGAGTGTGAACACCCCGAGGTTAATGACTGTTAGATCCATCTTTGTATTATTCCCAATGACTAGCACACCAGTGTCCGACACGCAGAAAGTGTCGGAAGAGGCTTGCTAGTGAGCAGATGTTAAAGTCGTGTCTGAAGCTCGGTTGGTAGGTGCTGGGAGGGCAGTTACCCCCCCTCCACACACACAGAGAGTTGAGTCCTTAGCACTGAGCCTTGGTGCTTGATTCCATCAGGTCTTCACATTAATCAAGCTCACTGAAATCTGATTTAGAAATTGGAAGACCAGTGGGAAATAATAGAAAATGTATATACTGGTCTCTGCCCCCCCTGGGTTCCTGACACAGAGCTCTTAAAATTCTTGGAATTTCCCTGGGTGACTGGAGTGGGCTTTTGTTCTATTGAGGTGACTCTGGGTGGGCTCCTGACAGCTTCAGATTAGGGGCTGGTCGCCAGAAAGACCAAGCCATGAGGAGGAGCTTGGAACTTTCAGCCCCATGTTCTTTGGAGAGGGGGTGGGGCTAGAAGTGGGGTTGCTAATCTGTCATGCTTACATGATGAAGCCTCCCTAAAATTCCCAATAGTATGGGGTCTGGAAGCTTCCAGGTTGCTGAACACATGGGGTTGCTGGGAGAGTGGCCAGCCCAGCGAGGGCAGAAAGTTCTGTGTACCTTCCCACATACCTTGTCCTCATACCTTGTCCTCTGCACCACTTCCATCTGGATGCTCATCTGTGTCCTTTATCACACCTTTTACGATAAACCAGTAAAAGGAATTCAGTGTTGGGGTGCCTGGATGGCTCAGTTGGTTAAGCAACTGCCTTCGGCGCAGGTCATGATCCCCGGATCCTGGGATCGAGCCCCGCATCCGGCTCCCAACTTGGCGGGAAGCCTGCTTCTCCCTCTCCCACTCCCCCTGCTTGTGTTCCCTGTTTCTCTATTAAATAAATAAATAAAATCTTAAAAAAAAAAAAAAAGGAATTCAGTGTTTCCCTGAGTTCGTTGAGCCATTCTAGCAAATTATCAGAACCAAGGAGGGACTGTGGGAATCCAGCTTTGCAGCCAAGTCTGACAGAAGTTGTGGGTAATCTGGGGACCTATGACTTGTGGCTGGTGTCTGAAGTGGGGTGTCATTCTTGTGGGACTGAGCCCTTCACCTGTGAGGTCTGCACTAAGTGCAGGTGGTGCCAGAATCGAATCGCATTGCAGGACACCCAGCCAGTGTCAGGGAACTGGTTGGTGTGGGAGAACCCCACACATCTGGGGTCAGGGGCATTGTGAGTTGTGGTAGTGGTGTGAGGGTAGAGGGGAATTTTTCATATAAAGAGTTTATGAACTTATACTGTTCCACTGCCTCTACCTGGCGAAACAAGACCAGCCACGGGTCCATGCATGACCCTCCAGAAACTGAAGGCCCTGGAGACCTCAAAATGGATCAGAGAGTTGTCTGGTGAACACAGCAGAGCAGAGCTTAACCATCCACTCAGCCAAGCCCTCCTATCCCTTGTACTGTTTATTTTCTTAGTGTATTTTAAAAAGTTGATTATCTTCTTTTCCCTAAAATGTATATAAAAAGGAAACTTTATATTATTCCTATTCATTTTAAATCAGGGTCACTTGAGAAAAATAGAAAGTAACTGAAAAAAGAATATTAAATTTAGCTGGAAAATTTGCCTGCTAAAGGTGTTGGGCCCCAAGCCTACTCTACCACTATTCAGAAGTAAGATTAAGTGTTAGCAAAGTGGTGGATTAGCACCAAACCAAGGATTTTTTCTGGATCATCATCAGTACACATGACATGTGATCTCCAGTAAAAGGTGTCCAGATGTAGAACTCTGTGCTTTCTGTTACCACTGCTGACAAATACCTGGTTAGTGTCCTGGCTGAAGGGCTATTTTATTTTCTGATAAGACTTAGAATTAAAAATAGAAATGTTTAAGATGATTTAAAAAACAAACATTTATACACAGAGACAGTCTGGAAGGGTATCACCCACTTGTCAATGTTTACTGCTGGATTTTTGTGTGTGGAATAATTTTAGAAGACCTTAGAAAAGTTGCAAAGATAATACAGGTAATACAGAGAGTTCTTGTATTACCTGGTTTCTAATGTTACATCCCTCTGATCTTATGTTACCATGTTTCATTTGTAGAAACTAAGAAACACACACTAGTACATTACTGTCAACTAAACTCCAACCTTCCTTTGGGTTTCCCTAAATTTTCCATTAATGCCTTTTTTTGGTTTGAGGATCCAACCTAGGATCCCACATTGCATTTAGTCATGATGTCTCCGCCGGCTTGTGACACCGTCTTTTCTTGATTTTCATGACCTTGACAGTCTTAAGGAATGGGACATTTCGCTGAATGTCCCTCAATTGGAGTTTGTCTGATTCTTTTTTTTTTTTTCCCTCATGATTAGACTCTGGTTATTGAGTTTTTGGAGAGACACCACAGAGGCAAAGTATCCTTCTTGCTGCAGTGTAATAGGGGTGTGACAAGCACATGACCTCTCACTGGTGATATTAAACTATGGTGACTTGGTTAAAGTGGTGTCGGCCATATCTAGTGGAAATGAGTCAGCCCACGCTACAGGGGGTGAGGGAGGGAAGAATTACACTCCGCTTCCTGGGTCAGAGGGCTGAAAGAAACTTACTTATTTCATCTATTATTTTCCAGATGGGATCTACGTAAACACCCAAAGAAATGTTCCAGATGCTGTGCGGGCTGTCCTGAGATCCCACTGGGCTTCACAGGTGCTGGGGTAACACGGGGATTTCCCTGATAACTGCTTCCCACCTTTTGGTCGTTTTGTGGAATTGCCAGTTTTTTCCAAAGTTGTTGCACCATCTCACATCCCCACCAGCAGTGTGTGAGGGGTTTTCTCCATATCCTCACCAACACCTGTATGACTTTTTTTTTTTTAAGATTTTATTTATTTGAGAGACAGAGAGTGCGAGTGAGAGAGCACAAGGAGGGGGAGCAGCAGAGGGAGAGGAAGAAGCAGACTTCCCACTGAGCAGGGAGTCTGATGTGGGGCTCCATCCCAGGACACTGGGATCATGACCCAAGCTAAAGGCAGCTGCTTAACCGACTGAGCCACCCAGGGCCCTGTTTTTTTTTTTTT